TGTGTGTCTGTGTGTGTGGTCCTGCTTTGCTGTTGGAAAAGCTAAGGCTCAAGAGGCAGCTGCTTAGGCCTAGGTATGGATCCAAGTCCACAATGCCCCTGATAAGTCACTTCAATCTTTGAACTTTAATTTTGAGCAAAATGGAGATGATAATCCTACCTTGCAAGTTGCTGGGAGGATTAAATGCCTAGCTGGGGGATAAGGTGCCTAGCTGAGCTCCAGGAAAATTACTCCATGAGAGAGAATGATTGTTATTCTAATTATTATTCAGAAACGTCTGGTAAGGGGGACAGGGGAGGCCCTCCAACCGGTGTGTGGTCTGTGTGCCCCCGGGGGTGGGAGGCCCCATGTGCTGACAGCGGACGTTGCAGTATCTCCAGCAGGCTGAGAAGGGTGGGAGGCAGCTGTGGATCTAGAAGGTCCGGCTCCTCATTCAGTCAGCCAGGACCTGGACGGCAGGGAGGGGAACCGGAGCCTGTGCGGGTGGAGTGCAGACAGAGTGTGGGTAGCTGTCAGCTAGTGCGTGGTGCGTGTGTGTGCATGTCTGTGCATGGGTGCAAGGGAGGACCCAGAATGATGGTCAGGAGCGCGGATCTGGTGCCCATCTGCCTGTTTGAAACCTAGCTGTGTGGCCTTGGGTAAATCACTTGATCTCTCTGTTCTTGGGTTTCCTCCTCTTAAAAATGGAGATAATAACAATACTTACCTTACTGAGCAGCTCCGAGGGTTGGACAAGTAGCTACCCGTGGAACACTTCAGGCAGTGCTGGGCGCCTGCCGCATGACCTGTGGATTTGCTCTGACTTTTTTTGCCAGCAAGACTTCGTGCCAGGCCTGCAGAAGGCCTTTACGTGCATGAGCTCCTCCCATCTTCCCAGGCACTGTTATCACCCCCATTTCACAGATGAGGGGACTGGGCTAAGAGAAGCCAGGTGCCTTGCCCTGGGTCAAAAGGGCTGGTTAGTGGACACCCAGGTCTGTGCAGGGCCTCGTCTAAGGGCACCCTCCTGAGGGCCAGCCTGGCACACCTGCACTCGGACACACTCCAACTGCACAAAGTGCTGCCGTTGTCAAGGTTAGGGTGGGGGATGTGGGGAGGGTCCTGCTTCCTGGCCTGGCCTGGTGCACTATGTGGGTTTTGTCCGCATCAATATGTGCACACAGCGCACGCACAGGCATGAGAGATACGGAAGGCAACAGGCTCCTGCACATGTGCAGCCTTCCCAGGGCTCCCTTGTGGAGGCTCATGTACACATGCGCACAGCAGGCTGAATGATGCAGCCCCCACCTGAGCTACTAGACGAAGAGTCTCTTCAGATGCAGAAGGGGCTCCCCTCCCCCCCACCAGGGATTCCTCTCTGCTCACTCCACCCCATCTGCGATTCTTTCTACATACCTGCCCTCCCCCACACAAGCTTAAGACACACACTCAAAGCCCAAACATGATGCCTGGGAATTTGTACGTGATTAGTACAAGTTGCAGATTGAAGGGTAGAAATGGGTGTACAGGCCACAAGGGAAATGTTTAATGTTCATTTCCTGAGGGCCTACCATGTGCCAAACAAGACTCCCTCCAACCCTGGGAGCGCCGAGCACAGAACCTAGTAGAATACAGTAGGCATTTAATACCTAATTTTTGAATAAATGAATGAGGCAGGTACTATCATGATGCCCATTCTAGAGATGGGAAAACTGAGGCTTGCAGTAGGTCCAGTGATCTTCCCATGGTTCTACAACTGAGCTGAGATTCCAACCCAAGTCTTCTTTGATTCCAGAGCCCATGTACTTTCTGCTGCACCCCACTGTGGAGTGCTGGGAGGAAATGAGGTGTTTGCTCCCACTGGTCCAGTGTGGGCTTTGCTGGTTTTGATGTTCGAAGAAGACTCACCACGGTGTAGGGCTATGCTGGGCTGATCAAGGGCCTATCTGCAAGGCTGCCTAACCCAGAGATGGGCCCATCTGAGCACTCTCTTCCCTCCCTCCAAAGCTTCCAAGGCTTCCCATTGCCTAAGCATGGAGTCCCGCTTCTCCACCTGACATTCAAGTCCTTCCCAGCCTGGCCCAAGTGCCCCTCTGTCCTCATCTCTGCCCACCTTGACATGAGCTCATCCAGCTGATCATCCTGCTGCTGAACTTAACCTCCTGAATCCATGACTCTATTCCTGCTTCCCGGCCCTTACCATCACTTCAACCTGGAGCATCCTCTCCCTGTTCCAACCTCACCTCCTCAGCCTTGCTTGGGGGCCATATGCAGAAGCCTGTGCTCATTCCCCTCGGTGGTGCATTGAGTCCTCGCCCCTCCTTGGAGTTCTGTAGTCCTCAAGCCCCGGCCTCAGCCCAAGACCACTCGACTTAGATCTGTCACTAGATGCCTTCACATCGGGGCCTAGCCTTCCTGTCAGCCTATGTCTGATTCGTCTCTGTGCCTTATGCACAGGGGAGGACACCTAACCACAGAGAGAGTAAGAAGCTGGGGTAAAATAACAGGAGGCTGAACTCAGGAAGCAGACAATCATGGGTTAAATCATTCCTCCCCCCTTCAAGCTGAATGACACTGGCAGAGTCACTTCTCCTCTCTGACCTTCAGTTTCTTCATCTGTAAACTACGTATGATACCTCCTGAGGGGGAAATGCAACAAGATGAGGCACTTTCCACTCTCCCCAGTGCAGGAACTCAGAAAACCGCTCTGCATATCTGCATCTCTGTATTTCCCAGGTGCCTAGTGTGCCTAGATTTTACCTATAAAATCTCAAAATCTCTGAGGATACCACTTAATGTCTTCATCTCCAGGAACACACCAAGCTGCCCCTGCCCCAGGACCTTTGCACTTGCTGTTCCCGCTACCCAGAATGCTCTTCCTCACATCTTTGCAAGTTGGCTCTCACTTTATCATTCTGATCTCAGCTCATCTGTCAACTCCTGGACTACTGGATCCATAGTAGCCCCTGTTGCCCCAATCCTTATCCTATTACCCTGTTTAACTCCTTCATAGCTCTTATCAGCACGATGACTGTCTCTCCCCAGGAGAAGGCAAACTCTCTGTGGGCAGGGATGAGGTCTTATTACCACTGTTTCCCCCTTGACTCAATGTGTAGGTGCTGACTGAGTCCACGACCCTGCGAACCCAGGAGCTGAGGATGCAAGCTGGGCTCTGGGCAGCACATGTGCCCCATGAGGAGCCCTTCTGTCTCTCAGTGGCCCCTCACTGGCCTCCTATTTCCGCGTCTGTCCCCTGCAGAGAGGGCGCTCATCCCCAGCTCTGCCCTTGGCTGAGTCATCTTCCTGTCCCCAGGCCTGGCTCCCGGAGGATGAGGAGGAGTTGGGTAAATGTTTGTGGTGTTAAATTGGACCTGTCGCAAGCTCCTCATGGCCTCCACATCTGAGGAGCCCCAGGGAAGGGGCCAGCAAAGAGAGATGAAAGAAGGTGAGAAGCTGGTTTCAAAGTTGGCCCTTTCAGTGTAGATAAAAGCCGGAGGGAAGGGAAGCCAACAGAGGGAGCAGAGAGAAGACTGAGAGGGGGTGTGAGCGCGACAGTGCAGGGGAGGGGAGCAGGCAGGCAGGAGCACTAACCTGGGAGGCGAGGACTCAGCTCCTACTCTTGGCTCTCAACTCCCCAAGAGAGCCCAGGGACACCTCCTCCCCTCCCTGGGCCTCGGTTTCCTCACACACATGGGTGATAATCCCTTCCTGGAGAGAGAGAGGTCTGTGGCCCAGCCAGAGGCTAGGGGGCTGCTGACAGACTGTCCCGACAGCCTGAGTGGAAGGGCGGCAGAGGAGCTCAGAGGCAGTGGGACGGTTTGGACAGTGAGGAGGGCAGAGGCAACCCCGGGCCCTCTGGCTCTCTGGCCTGAGTCTGAGCTCCTCAGCTTGCCCTGAGGCCTGCCAGACTTCACTTTTGCTGCCTCATCTCCCTCAGTCCACTGTAGCCATCACGGTCTGCTCTTCTCCAGGCACAGCTACCTCGGCCTCCATATGCCTGCACAAGCTGTTCCTCTGCCTGGAATGCCCTTCACCTCGTATGTACACCTGACCATAGCCAGGTACCACCTCAGTTCATTTCCTGCCTCCTCCAGGAAGTCTTTTAAGACCCCTGAGGGTATTTCCCAGTCTGAGAGCCTGTAGGCAGTTAGGCAGGCATCTCTCTGTCGTCACCCAGGGCTGCCATGTAAGATTGCACATGCTGTGCACTGTACAACTCAGAGAACCATTCACATAGATGATGAGGGGAACGTTACCCATCTGGAACCATGTAATGCATAGATCCTCAAATTAACTTCCCTTTTCCCTCTCTTCAGTGCTCAGCACAGAGCCTGGCACATAGTTGGTTCTGGGATTACTTACTGATTATGTCCAGCGGTTTCAGGGAGGAAGAGGGAGCTCAGGAATCTCCTTCCCGTCTGTCCAACAGTGGCCCTTCCCCCCATCCCTGACCTCCTCTGGATCATTTCTGCTACAACCTTTCTTCCCGTCTCTTCCACCTGACCTTCTTCCAATTTGGGCCACAGTCAGGGACTTCTCAAACCCTTCCAGAAACATCAACAGAGCTGCAGCATCCCTGCCCCTCCACCCACCTGTCTCCCCCCACCCCATTAACCCCTCTCTCTCCCTGTGTCTGTTTCTCTTTCTTTCCCTTTCTGGCTTTCTCAGCAGATCCCCTCTGTTTCTACATGGTCAGGTAGGTCCCCTGCCTCTTTTAGTTCCTCTCATGGTCTTTCCACTGGCTCCCCCCTCTCTCCGACCTCCTCCTCTCACTGTGGGGCTCTCCCCAGGCCCCTGAGCCTCTCTCTCTTTTCTCAGTTTTTCTCTGCTTTTATGTTTCATTCACTCATCAGGGCAGTCAGCGAGTGTCCACCGAGTGCAGGGCATCAGGTAAAGTGGTGAGCACACAGAACACCCTGCTCTCATGGGGCTCATCTGGTAGTGGCAGAGACACACAACGGAGTTAGAAAACTAGGTAGCGTGTTCAATGGTGAAGGCTACTGAGGACAGGGTGACATGAGGAAAGGGGATGTGAAGTGTTGGGGCTGGGGGTTGGGGTGGGGATGAAATTTTAGAAAGAGTGGTCAGGGAAGGCATCACTGAGAGGGTGACTCTTGAGCAAAGGCCTAGAGGAAGCCAGTGGACCAATCGTGGGGATATTAAGGGGGTAACATTCTAGGCAGAGGAATCAGCAGTTGCAAAGGCCCTGAGGTGGAGTGAGCTTGGTGTATCTGTGGAGCAGTGAGGAGGCGAGTGTGGCTGAGCCCCCTGAACTAGGAAGGAGGACCTCGGGAGGAATGGTCTGAGAGGCTACAGTGAGGCCAGATCTCATGGGTCTGGGGGGCACTGTGAGAGCTTGGTCTTTTGTTCTGAGCCAGATGGGTGCCTTTGGGGGGCTCTGAGCAGAGGAGGGCCAAACTCTGATTTCCGTTTGGACAGGATCAGTCTGGCCCCAGGCCAGTTCTAGATTAAAGGGGGGGGGGCAGAAGCAGGGAGACCAGTAGGGGGGAGGGGAGGAGTGCCGGAATCGGGGGATGCGGGTCGGGGTAAGAGAAAATGGTGGCCTGGACCAGGGGGTAGCAGGTGGGTAGCAGCGCAGGTGGAGAAGGTGGTGGGATTCCGGATTTGTTGATGGACTGGAGGGAGGTGGGAGACAGAGACAGGAGGCAGGGTGTCTCCAACATTTTTGATCTCAACAACTGGAAGGTTGGGGTCGTTTTTGGTGGAGGGACCTGGAGCTCAGTTCCAAACGTGGTGAGTTCTGGGTGCCTAGGGGAGCCAAGGGGAGCTGCTGAGACGGCAGGGTGGGCAAGAGAGTGGACTCGGGGGTCATAGGCATGTGGATGGACAGGCCGAGGGCACCGAGGGAGCCACCGCGGACAGACAGGACCGGGGCCGAGCCCTGTTCACTCTGCGGTGTCTGTCAAACCTGGGTCTCCCTCCTTGTCCTGAGTCCCCTGACTCTCTGTGACCACTCTCACATCTGTTTCCTTTGTCTCTGAGCGGCATCTCTGTGTCCATCCCCACCTTCCCCGCCCCCCGCCCCTCCCCCTCTGCCCGCGGTCTGTCCGCCGGGCGGTGGCGGGAGAGCAGGCAGCAGGCGTGGCCCCGGGCGGGGGTCTCACCGGACGGGCCGGTTGGCGGCGTCGGGGTCCCGCGCCGTCACCACGCCGACCAGGGAGCCCACCTGCGCGTCCTCCTGCACCTCCAGGAGGCCGGAGGGCGGCCGGAACTCGGGGGGCTCGTCCACGTCGGTCACGGCCACGCGCACGATCGCCTGGTCGCGGAACGTGCCCAGGTCAGCGAAGCGGGGGTCCACGAACTTGTTGAGGGCCTCCAGGACCACGGTGTGCACGGGCTGGGACTCGAAGTCCAGGCGCTGCGGGGAGGGAGCAGAGGGTGAGTGGGCCGGGTGGGCTCGGCGCCGAAAGAAGCCATCGGGGAGGTGGGCCCAGAGAGGGCCTAGCCAGCCCAGGGTCACGATGACTCTGCAGGGGCGCGGGGAGTAGTGGGCTGCACCAGGGAACTGGCTGTTGGGAGACCCCCGACCAACCCTCCCTGGTTGCAGGTGGACGAATCGAGACTGCGGGGGACAGTCTTGCCAAGGGACACAGCCCATCAGGGCTAAAGGACGCTGACATCTGACTTCCCAAACCCCCCCACCCCCACCCCAGGCACAGTATGTCCGACCATTTCATGCATTTATTAATTCACGGAGCACTTACTGTGTACCAGCGCATTACCCATCTAATTTTACGACATCCGTAAGAGGGCTGTATTGTGATTATCTCCTTTTACACGAGAGGAAATCGAGGCCCAAGGTCACTTAGCAGTTAGGTACTGGCAGAGGCAGGATTCAGACCCAGGCAGTGCTGCTCCCAAGTCCTGGCCCTTAACCCCCCGCCAGGAAAGCGCACTGGATCTGCTGCTGACTCGCTGTGTGTCTGTGGGCAATCTATTTAGCCTCTCTGAGCCTCAGTTGTGAGGGTCTCCTTAAGACATTTCCCAGGTCCCTAGCCGGCAGCAACTAATATGAGTTGAGCCTGATAAGCCAGGCTGCCTTAAAGCTTTCCTTGGAAATCTGGCTAAACCCATGCTGAGACTTGCTTCTCATCAGGGAGTGCTAATGGGTGACCTTCTGATGAATGAGCTCCATGGCCACGTGTTGGCTCCGGCCTTCTAAAGACAACGCATTATAGCAAAGGGAAATAGCAGTGGTGGGGTTTGGGCGCCTCCAACGTGTGGGGGGAGCTATCTGGGTGGCAAGGGACCTTCCTAAAGACCTGCCCTGTGCGTAGAGACCCCCTTTTCTCTCAGAATCTCCTGCCCCCACCTTCTCCAGCAGTAAACACGGCCACCTCCTTCCTCTGTCCTGTTGCCTGGGAAATCAGGATGCAGGGAGGCAGGCCGGAGCCGGGCCTGTGAGTGAGCGATGGGCTCTGGAGCCAGGTCATCAATCAGGCGTGGGCTCTGCGCCCCGAGACGAGACGCCTCAGGCGCCACTGCTGGGGCAGGTGGGAGGAGCCTGAGATGGGGGAGGGGGTTAGGGGCAGCCTGGGGGTAAGAGCAAATGCAGAGGCTGGACTTAGGGCCTGACTGCTGCTCTGTGATGCTGGACCCCATCTGTGAAATGGGCTCATCTTCCAGAGGACAAATGGAACTCTGAAGACTGAAAGCCATATAATGCTTAAAAGGGTGGATTCTGGAGCCAGACTGCCTGGGCTCATAGCCCTAGTCTGCTCTGCAAGATGCATGACCTTGGATGCGAATTGTTGAATTGCCACGGCCTCAGTTTCTCTTCTATAAAATGGGCAATAATAGTACCTCAGAGGGTTGTCGTAGGGATTGATTAATACATGAAGAGCTGTTGAAGGGTGCCTGGCACATAGTGTACATTTATTATAAGTAATAGCTACTCTATTTTAATCTTCTGGGCAGTAGCTGAAAAAACTGGGAGTCTTCTCTCTTTTCAAACCCTCCAGGCCACATAGAGAGCTGGTCATATGTGCTTATTGAGTGAATGAAGGGCTGTAGGGTGCAAATGTTTCTGCGTGTCCCAGAAGGCAAGGCCCAGGCTGATGGGAGCAGATTTAGGAGACAGATTCTGGCCGAATGGAAGGAGAAATAGCTGGACAATGGCAGGAAGTGAGCTTCCCAACCTGGAGGCGTACAAAGGCCTACCATCATTCGCAGGCCAGTGCAGGGGATTGACCTCTTGTGGGAGAGCAGGGCTGGGGCGATGGTCTCAAAGGCCTGAGTGGCCCTGAGTTGCCACGCCCACGACCAAGTTCTAGAAGATGGATTTGTGCTTTTCATTTGACCTCCATCCCCTTCCCCTAGGGACCCCTGAATTTGTTCTTTTAGCTTCTAGTTCCTGGGCTAGTCAGTAGGGGAGGAGGGCTGTTAGACTCAAGAAGGAAAGAGCTTGGAGTCACCAGACCTGGGTTCAAATCCTGACTCTGCCCCTTACAGGTGTGATCTTGGGCGAGCCCTTTTCTTTTTCTATGCCTCTGTTTTCTCACTTGTAAAAATGGGCTTAACAATGGATGTCTCTTCAGAGGGAAGCATGAGGACTAAAAGAAATGATGAGCGTGAAGGGCATGGACTCGAAGGAGCACAGCACAGTGATTCTGAGCGTGGATCCAAATCTGGTTTGAATCCGGGCTCTTACAACTAGCTGTGCAGCTTATCTTCTTTGTGCCTCATTTTCTCATTTGTAAAATGGGACTGATACCATCGCTGTTTCCTCCAGGTGGGTCCTGGGTCCCCAGAGAGACCCAATCCCTGGAGTGGAGTGGGGTGGGGCCACATGGCTGCTCTGAGGCCTCCCCCCCCATCCCGCCACCCTGGGTCTGCCACCCCCCCACCCCAAGCAGCACCTTCTGCACTACAATGATGGCCTCCTGAGTGTCGCTGTCCGTGGTGACCTTGAACACATGGCCGCCGCTGCCGCTCTCCTCCTTGAGGTGGTAAGTCATATCTGTGTTCTCGCCCACGTCTGAGTCCTCAGCCTTCACCCGTCCCACAGCCGTGCCGATGGGGGCCGACTCCTGAATGCTGAACTGGTACATTTCTGTAGGCGATACAGCTGTGAACAGAGATGGGGGGCAGCCCCTACCCCAACTCCCACCAGCTTCAGGGGAGAGGAGAAGGGGGCCCAGATGGGCTCCCGGGAGGGCAGTGTCTGCAAGGGGCTCCTAAGCGGGCAGTGCAAAGAGGAGGGTCCTAATTCTGACCCTGGGTTGATTTGCTGACTGATAGGAAAAGTGCCTGCAGTGTTTGGGGCTTCAGTTTCTCCGTCTGCCCATGAGGGGTGCAGAGGATCCCAGTGATCAAGGCTCAGGCTCTGGAGTCAGTCCTGGCTGTGTAATCCTGATTCTTGGTTTCCTCATCTGTAGAATGGAAAAAGTGCCTTCCTAACGGCACTGTCACAGTCCCCGTTAACTTAGATGAGGAGGCATGGAAAGCGCTTAGTACAGTGCCTAGCTCATGGTAGCTACTCAATCAATGGAACAAATTATGGTAAAAGAGCAGGGCTTCATGCCGATTTCCTGTTGCTGTTGATGTTAATGACATTTATTCCTTCATTCCCACGTATTTATTAAGCACCTATGATGTCCCAGATGCAGTTCGGGGACTGGGGTTATAGCAATAAGCAGAAAAGACCCAAATCCCAGTTCTCACAGTGCTTTCCTCTTAACAGGCAGAGAAAGACGCAAACAATCACATCAGTAAAACATGTGGTGTATCAAATGGTGATAAGTGCTTTGGAGAAAAAGTAAGGGAAGGGGCACAGGGAATGCCGATGAGGGTGTGTGTGGAGTTTTAAATAGGGTAATCAAGAAAGGCCTCACTAGGAAGATGACATTTCTGCAAAAGTCTGGGGGAGGTGAGGGAGTAAGCCAAGCAGATTTGTGGGAAAGAGCATTCCAGACAGAGGGAACAGCAGGTGCAAAGGCCCTGACGTGGGTGCAATGCCCAGTATGTTTGAAGAATGGCAAGATGGCCTTTGTGGCTAGAGGGGAGAAGCAGAGCAGAAACGTGAAGGAATGAGGTCAGATGGGACACAAACGGTACACTGCTCTCCTCCCAGAGTTGAGGTCAAGATGAGGGTGATTTGCAGGTGAGGAGCCAGTGCAGGTGAAGTAGGGCCTGTGGAGCTGAGAATGTGCCTCTTGGAGTCCCCAAGGTCTGGATACTCCTTGTGTGGAGCGGTGGCCTCTGAATCATTCTCACATGGCAGCCAGAGGGGCTGTTTCTAAAACATGCTGGCTGTGCCACTCCCCCGCTGGAATCCCTTCCATAGCTCCCGGCTGCCCTGTGATGGAGCCCTACAGCCCTTTGGCCTGCCCTACAGGATGCTCACTGCCTGGCCCCTGCCGACTTCTGCAGCCTCAGCCTCCCTCTCTCTGACCCCAGCTTCAGCCTGCCTGAGGTTCTTATAATTCCTCATCTCTAGGCATCCCCTCTCTTTATTCTCCTTTCTGCTGTGCCCTCCCCAATTCCTACAGTCTCACAGAATGTTCCCTCCTCCAGAGAGCCTTTTCAGACTGACCTCCAGGCTCTTCTGGTCTTGTGCCCCAGGGCCACCAAGATTATCCCATTATAAGGTTTCCTGCCTTTCCCTATCAGTTTCTGCTTCTTCTCTCCCTGCTCTCTCCTCTCTCCGCTGTCCAGAGTGTGAGCTCCTGGAAGGCAGGAACCACATCTCTTATCCATCAGGCATTCTCCGAGCCTGGCAGAACACCAGACTGTCGCATAAATGAAATGTGTGAGTGACTAGGGAGTGAATGAATGAAAAGGAGCATGGTTCTACACTCGCTGGGTTAACACAAATTAGAGTCTGACAACAGCAAGTGGTGGGGAGGATGGGCTACAATGGACACATGCATTTTTTTCATGGGGGGAACAGTTTGGCTTTGTTTAGTAAAGCTGAAGATAAGTATATCCCATGAGCCAGCTATTCTGTTCCAGTGTGTATATACACCAGAGAAATGCGTGCAAACTGGCACTTGGAGATGTTCCACAAGGTGCAACAATGTTCAGAGCAGTATCCTTCATCATAGCCTCAAACTGGAAACAAACCAAACGTCCATCAACATAGAATAGATAAACGATGGGACACTGTGCAGCAACGAAAATGAATACATGTGATTTCATAAACATAATTTTAAGAGAGGAAAAAAAGCAAGACGCAAAGAGGTTATATGATATGATTCTGCTCATCTAAGGTTAAAAAACCAGGTGAAATTAAGCTATAGTGTTGGGTGATGTGTATGTAGGTAAACTGACTCTAAAGCAAGGAGGTAGCGATCACAATAGCGGATCATGGTTAACTCTGGAAGTGGGGGTGTGGGGGGCCGCTAGGTTCAGGAAAGGCACCTGGAGGCTTCTGGGGTCCAGGAGTGTGGTCTCTAGGACGATTTGCTTTATAATTAGTTGCCAAACTGGACATTTCTATTTTACACCTTTCCGTTTGTGTGCATATTTCACAATAAAGGAATGTTAAAAATAAAGAAGGGATGAATCAATGAATAAATAAACAAGAGTCTTCCTGGGGCCTGGGGTCCCTCTTCTCTGCTCTGCCCCACTGCTTCCGGCTCAGAACTAGCACAGAGCTTCGCACAACTGGGCAGAAGCCCGGGTGGCCCCCACCGCTCCACACGGTGCCTCAAAGCTCCACCATCCACATCGGGGGGCGGGGGGGCCCCCGGCTACTGCGCCCGGCTCCCTGGAGACACGAAGCCAGCTGGCAGCTCTGCCCACCCCGCTTGGAGTCCAGGCTGAGGTGCTAGGCCCCGATGATGGTGCGGTCTCAGCTAAGGGATTGGATTCCCTTATCTCGCGGGGGTCAGTCCCCTGTGGCGGGCCTAATGTGAGAGCAGCAGACCTCAAGTAATGACACCCCGATAGGGATCAGCCCGGCTCCCTGCAGCATTTAGTCTCTGCCAGCTTCGGCGGCTTCCCCGGCCCGGCTCTGGGCCCAAGGCTGGACAAGGGGCTGGCTGAGGGGGAGGTGGGGGACTTGGCCAGAGAACACCCCCACCCCCCGTCCCCTGTTGTGCCTGGAGAGGCAGAGAGTGGAAAGACCTAATTCAGAAGCGCAGCACCCTGCCCTCCAGGCTCATCGTGGGGACAGACCTGTCACTCCAGCCCCCCTCCCCGGCCCTTCCCTTTGCAAGCTTGGGTCAGTGGCAGATCACATGGATAAGCAGGAATGAGGTGTGTGCGGGGGCCAGTGAGGGGCTGGAGTAGGTGGAAAGATGGGGGCTCCTCCGCGGCAGGAAGCAAGGTGAGGGGTAGGAAGGTAACCGTATTACTTGGCCTGTGGGCTATCAGACAACTTTGAGGACTTCCTCTGCAAGAAGCATGATTGGAGGGGCACTGGGGGGAAATGGATGCCTTGGATGGATAGACAGATTCAAGCTTCTCTTTTGGTGGAAGCCTAAAGGGAAGCATGAGCTCGGTGGGCGGAAGGATGAACGGACACCCACAATACCTGCCATGGAAGCCTGATGGGAGGGGTGCTGGGGGTCTACCAGGTGGATGCAGATGCATGTGGCCATCACCCTCTAGGAAGGCCTCACTTACTCTGCGGGAAACGGGGTGGGTTGTCATTGACATCGGTGACCACGATGGTGACGGTAGTGGAGCCGGAGAGGCCACCCAGCTGGCCCGCCATGTCTGTGGCCTGGATCACCACCTCGTAGCGCTCCTGGCTTTCGCGGTCAAGGTCGGGCACGGCTGTCCGGATCACGCCTGCGGGTGAGTGAGAGTGAGGCCAGGGATGCCCCCCCCCGAAGCTGCGAGCTGATACAGAGACCCCTCCACAGGCAGAGGCGTGGCTCAGGCAAGTTCAGGAGGGGAACACGGAAGACACGGGTGTGGGGACAGTGGGGGTGCAGGCTCAGCAGCCACCACGCATGCTCACGCACACTCACCCACGTGTTCACGGATAACGCACACTCACACCTGCTCAGATCCGCTCTTTCATCCCTCTGTCAGTGGCCCTCAGCAGAGTCGGGCACGGAACAGCAGCTTACTGAGTGCTAACATGGTGAACTGGACTCACACCCACACTCACACACATTCACTTTGGAGTCACACTCATCTGTATACATACACTAAGTATGTCTCACATCTCACACGCTTATGTGGTACATACATAAGAACACACATGAGCTCACACCCACACCCACACCCACATGTGTGCACACTCACAGTTACGAACGCACACTCTTATTTTCACACGCCCCTCTCCATGATGGAGTCGGCCCCCAGCCCCTGAAGTCCCCGTGCCCTGGCCCAGCCCTAGATTCTCTGTCCAGGCACTGGCTAATCACTGATCAGACAGCCCTTCAAGCTGTTGATGCAAGAGCGGCAGGGGCCGCAGGAACGGCGGTGACCACAGATTAATTCTGCCGAGCAGAAGACCGAGCTTCTTGTCTCCCTGCCAGTGGGAGACCAAGGTGGAGGGGAGAGTCGATGAGGCGTTCACAGCCTCCCCCGCCACTCGCTCCAACCTGCCGAGTACCAGGTGGTGACAGGTGGTGCCCGGGCCTGCACGCCAGGTGGAGTCATGCACCAGCAGCCCCATGATGTGCCCTATAAAACCCAATCTCCGACTCCTGATGTCCCCAAACAGCCCCCAGACTCCAATAAAGGCGCTAGAACGAGGGGAGAGGCTGCAGTGTGTGCGTGTATGTGTGTATTTGTATGTGTAGCTGGGGGAGCCGGAGGTAGGGCATCTAGGAAGTGGCCCTGCTTTTGTGGGATCACATGGAGATATGGAAAATGTGTAGTCTATCTAATCAAGAGTCGTACAGACCCTCCATCGGTGGCCTCCGAGACCCCTCCCTGGGCTCCCTGCTGATCCCTCCTTTACGGACAGTGAGTCTTGGAAGCACATGAACTTGGGATAAATCCCAGATCTGCCATTTTTTTGACCAGTGCTCTTGAGCAAATCCCTTCCTCTGAACCTCAGTTTCCTCATCTGGACAATGGGACAATTGCATACAGAGCAGGAATTATCAACCTTGGCACTATTGATGTTTGGGGCGGGATAACACTACCCACCAGCTGCCAGTAGCAGCGTGCTCCCCACCGACGCCAGTTCTGGTCAGCACTGGCCCTCCTTGACCTGCCCCAACACTGGGACTGTGAGCGGGGCGCCCTTCTGGCGATGAGGCTAGGGCCTAGGCCTCCACTGGTCTGTCAGCTGAGGCTTTGCAGCCCTGGAGAGGGAACAGAGAGCAAGGGAGACCTAAAGGGCTGGGACAGAGAGGAGGAGAGAGGTAAGTGGTCAAGCCAGAGGGAAATGCGCACTCGGGAGGGACAGTGAGACAGAGGAACAGAGCGCTGGAGACCTGGAGACAGATGAACAGGGAAAGAACAGAGGGGAGAAAGGAAGGCAGAGAATAATAGAGACTGAGTGAACAGCCCTTCTCGAAGACAGCAGGGAGGCCCAGGGCAGACAGACAGACTGATGGTGGAGTGGCCAACCAGGCCAGAGACAAAGGCTCCCTGAGTGAACCAGTCGGAAGGGCAGGGAGGGGAGCCGACCAGCGGAGCCCTTACCGCGTGCTAAGCCGTGTGCACGTGCTTTGCATCCAGGACCTCGCGGAATGCAGAGGCAGTGCTGGGATTTGGGGCCACGGTGCATCTGTGAGCTTGTGCACCAAAAACTCATGCGTGGGGCTTGGAGCAGGGCTCTGGCTGAGGTCCACCCCTGCGGGTGAGGAGCCCTGCTCATGTGACTGCCTCCTTGCTGTCCTTGCCACTTCTAGCTCCAGAGGAAGTAGGGATACTAACCTCTTTTCACTTGGCAACTGGTCATGAAGTCTTCTAGACGATCAGGTGCCATCTCTGGGAGACCAGGAGGTGGGTACCCAGAGGCCATGCTGCCTCTGGACCCGGCCCTGGGCTCACACCCAGTGACAGGCTGGGATGCCCGCTCCCAATAAAGCACACCTGCTGATAGGCACACTCTTGGGTCACCCCCTCGGACACCGACTCTGGCCTTAGCCCCGCAACTTGCTTTGGCCAATGGGACATCAGCAAGTGGGACAAAAAGCAGAGGCTTGATAAGCCCTTGTGTGCTGGGGCCTGTCCTCTTGGAGCTCCGAGACCACCTTGCTTAGAAAAAGCCCCAGATGGAAGGCCACATGGAGGTAGGGGCCCAGGCACACCAGTGTCCTAGCCGATCTGCCAGTGGACTGTCGCCACACGAGTGACCCCGGTGAAAAGGACTGCGCAGCCAGCCCACAGGATTATGTCAATAAAAAACTGCTGCTGTTTTAAGTCACCGTGTTTGGGGGCAGTTTGTCACAAAGCAGTAGATATCTGATGGAGAGATCATGTATTCCGGCCTGTTCCTCTCCTGGGCTCGCTCGTGCAGTCACATTTCACTGGAGGCTCAGCTGGCCAGAAGGCCCAGCGAGGCCTGGGGCATAGGTCTGGCAGGGGGTGGGGGGTTCCTGGCTGTCAGCTAGAGCATCTCCGGGCTTCAGCAGTCTGGGCTCATTTCCTTAGATGGGGGTCTTGGGAGAGAAGAGTGAAGGCGGCAAGGCCTCTTAAGGCCTAATCTGGGACTTGGCAGAACATCATTTCTGCTCCCAGATTCAAGATTCCACCTCTCTCTCTCTTTCTAAGTAGGCTCCATGCCCAGCATTAGGCTTGAACCCATGACCTTGAGAGCAAGAGTCCCATGCCTTATCATCTCAGCCAGCCAGGCAACTCTCAAGACTTCACCTCTTGATAGGAGCAGTGACAAAGTCACTTTACCTAGAGGGGTGGGAGGAATTGATGGCATATTCTGTTACCTGCTATGTTCTGCTCCCCACTCCACTTCCTGACGCTGGGAGGAGCACCCTGGGGGCTGGTGCCTTTCTCCCGGCTCTGGGGTAAAATTCCCCAAATCGGCCCATGCAGTGGTCCTTGAAACCTTCTGGCTCTGCAAATCACTTCATTCACTCATTTATTAGATGCTTACTGAGGACATACTATGTGTAGGGGTCACAGAGGCAGATACGAGGCCGTGCAGAAAGGAGGGACTTTGGGGTCAGACTGACTGGTTCAAGTCTTCTTTCCACCATTTATTTACATGCTGTCTGACCTTGGACAAGTTTTTTGAGTACCTCTGAGCCTCAGTTTCCTATTCTATAAAATGGGGCTACCCAGTTGGAAGGCTTTTAAGAGAATTAAATGAGACAAAGTCTCCAGCGGCAGGTCGCACATTCTGGGGATGCCATGATGATCCCTTCCTCCCCAACTCCTGGATTGGGTACCCGATCAATATGTTCCATGAGGGCAGAGATTCCTACCGGCCTTGTTCATCATCTTACTTATAGGGTCTGGCACATTGGGGGTGTTCAATAAACACTTAGACTGTCTGACCTACTGCCACAGACCCTCTGTCTCCCCGTCTCATAGGCTGGGTGTCATTGTTTCTGGCTTCTCTGTTAGAACAAAAGCCCTGGGGGGCAGAAACCAGATCTAGTTTATCATCCTGACCCCAGGATCTGGCACTTAGAAGGTGCTCAGCAAAGGTTTGTTTCATTCATCCCAGGAAAACAGACATCTCTGGCCCTGTTGAGAATTTTCAGCAGATAACTTGGAGTCTCTGAGAGCGTCTTTCTAGTCCTGTGCGGGTGGTGGTGGGCGGGTGCTGAAAATTAGAACCTGGCCACAGCTCCCTGCAGCCTTGTCCTCACCCATCACCTCCAGTTCCAGGTGTTGTCCTCGCCACCCCCACCGTCCCCTCCAAATTCTGCAGAAGGGGCCCTGGAGCCCAAGCAATGCCTCATTAGCCCGCAAATGCCATCCCTGTTGCCCCTGTGGGGGGCTTGCTGGCAGGCCTGGCCTTTAAAACACACAAGTTAATTCGTCCTCTGGCACTCGGTCCCATGGAGCCCCGCCCCCTCCTCTCCCTCACACCTTCCTCTCAGGGCCCGTTCCGGCTCTGCTCCCTGCTATCTGCACAGCGAGAACAGACTGTACCTCACAGCAGCTGCTAAATATAGACCCGCATCAGCGGAATATTCCTGGCTGGGGAAATGGAGCTGGGGCTGGGAATGGCACCAGGGCGGCTCCTGCAGTGGGGCTGAAGGCAAGGGGAGGAAAAATCTGGTCCTTCCTGGGAGATGTCAGCAAAGAGCCTCTCAGACTGAGAAAGTGGAGGACCCTAGAACAAGGACCTCATTTGCGCTGCTTCACCTGCCTTGCCTGGTGCCACGCGCTGGCCTCTTGGGAAGCGTTCCTGCCCTCCCGGGCTCTCCATGGCCTCCCGCTTGCCGCTCTCTTCCCGACTCCCTGCAGTGGGGGATGCTCTTTCTGAGAATCTGGCCGTCCTCCTCACTCTCTTGGAGTTTGGCTCACCCCTGCCATTTCCCAGACTCAGTCCTGGCCCCTCCCTTATTTTGGTCGCTTCCTCCCTTTCTGGAGGGAGATCAACTCAAAGGGCCCCCTCCTCCAGCTGAACGAATGAAGGCTTCAGTAGCAATAACAGCCCCTTGGCTTGCCAGGAGGTACCAGGGATTATGCCGAGCACTTCATACCTTCGCTGTTCCCTTGGCCTGCACACTCCTTCCTAGATACCGAGGGGCTCATACCCTCCCTTCATTCACGTCTCTGCCCAAGGCCACTTCCCCAGAAAGGCCCATCCTGATTTCTTCATCGAAGTCTATCCCCTTACCCTGCTTTCTGTGTCTTCCTAGCACTCGTTGCTACTTGACGTTATGCTATGCATGGATAGGCTTATTTTCTGTATTCCCTACTTGAATTAAAGCTCCATGAGGGTAGGGTCTTGGATTTGCCTCCTGCCATATGCTTAGAGCCTAGAACACAGCCGGGCACATAGCAGGCACTCGCTAAAGAGTTGTTGAATGAAGGAAGGAACTCTCCCGTTGGATCCTCACAAGAGTCACGTGAGATGGGAATTATTATCCTTCTTGTGCACATGGGAAACCAAAGCTTAGAGAGCCCCAGCTACTTAGAGAGCTCTGGGCCTGTATTTCAGATGGCCTGCTAGATGTTCTAGATGTTTCTTTCCTCTTCCTCTCTCCTCTTAAACCCACCGTGGTTAAAATGGAATGAATTAGCTCTGCACCTGATCGCAAGGCATATTCACTAATTTTTCTGCTCCTAGTTTTCTTAATCGACATTCCTCCCTCTGTTTCCGTAGATGGTGCCCCTTCCCATCCCAGGGCCCAAAGCTGGGAACCCCCAGATTCTTCCCTCAATCTAGTTCTCTACATTCACCCAGGTCCCCAAGGTTTGCCCTTGGCAGGATCTCACTGTCATCCCTCATTCTCCCTTCTCAGCATCTCAACTAACCCTTGCCACCAATCCTGTGTCATCTCTGGCTCCCTAGCTAGATGGAACAGGTTCAGGAGTCTGGGTGGGGGCTGGGGAAAGGTGCAGGCCTTGGTGTTTGTCCTTTGGGGCTCTGTGATGGGGACCCCAGGCTACTGAGTCTCCCTGAATTCAATGCCTGCCTCTGAGCCATGCTATAGAGAGCAGCCCGAGGGATCTTGTTAAGATGAAAACCTGAGCATGTCACTTCCCTGCCTAAAAGTCATCAATGAACCCCGAGTGTTGGTGAGGAGGGGGGGAAGCAGGCACCTTCTTGGGTGGCTCTTGGGAGTGTAATCTGGTACATTTTGGCATTATCTATCCAGATTCCAAATGCATGTGCTCTTTGACCCAGCTTTTCTACTTCCCAAAAATTATCCTGCAGATATACTCACACAAGCACAAAATGATATATGTATGAGGTTATTCACTGTAGCATTGTTCGTTGTAGCAAAAGATTGGAAACAGCGTAAGTGTCCATCAATAGGGGACTGGTGAAATAAATTCTAGTGTATCCACAACAGCTGTTAAATAAAAGAATGAGGAAGCTCTTTATGTACTGATATAGAATAATCTTCAAGATGTATTGTTAAGTGAAAAAGGCAAGCAGTGTATATAGTGTGTGTTTATAGCTACCATTTGTGTAAAAAAATAAAACAAATACATGTACCTATTTTCTTGTACATGCATAGAATAGCTCTGGAAAGATACCCAAGAAAATTACATTGGTTGCCTTGGGGACCCAGACTGGGTAACTGGGGGACTGGAAGGGGTAAAGAATTTCCACTAAATATTTGTTTGGATAAATGTTGAACCTTGAAATGTGTTATTTATTTTAAAAAACTTAATATTTTTCAAGTAAATGAGTGAGTCTAAGATCTCATAGGAGATATACACCAAGTGGCTACCTTTGGGGCTGCAATTAGGGGATGAGAGTGGGAAGCATCTATCTATCTATCTTTCTTTCTTTTTCCTTCTTCCTTCCTTCCTTTAACATTTCTTCAATGTTTGAATGTTTCCTAAAATGTGTTACTTTTGCAAGGAGAAAAAAATGACAAAGATATTATGTGTAAGATAATACAATTACAACTGAGCTCATAACCTGGAATCCTCAATCCCCCACCCCAACAAATCAAACACAAAAACAAAACCCCAAAACCCAGATCCATCACACACACACACACACACACACACACACACACCATTACCCTTAGAATAACCCTTAGAATTACCCTTTACCCCCCATTACCCTTAGAATAAAATCCAAGGTCTTAAACCTCGCTACTACTGTGCCCAGTTGGGCCCCTGCCAACCAGCCTGAATCCCCAGCCTGCCTGCTTCCCCAGTCCTGAGTTGCTTACAATTCCCCTCATGCCTCAGGCTGTTCTTTCCCTCCTGGTTTCACCTGCACCATGCCCTCTGCCTGGAATGCCCGTCTCTGAATCCTAGTCTGGCCAACACCTTCTTAACCTTTGGAGATCAACTTCTTCCACCTCCCAGAACCTTGCATCCTGATTGCCCATGCATATGCCTGTCGCCCTGGCCCCCACCCGGGCTGTGAGCCCCATGATGGCATCTGATAAACATTCTGTGGTGTGAGGTCTCCCTGGCGCCCTCACTCCTGCCCTGCCCCTCCCATCACAGGGACGGGGAGAACACCGCCCTTGGCAGCAGCAGCCACGCCCAGCTGTGTGACCTCAGTGAGGCACTTCACTCCTCCGAGCCTCAGTCTCCTGCTCTGCCCTCCCTGCCACTCTGGCAGGGCCCCTCAGAGACATAATCAGGTTCTAACCTCAGAGAAAATGAATTGGGGACTGTGTCTGGTGGCGTTGGGGGAGGGAAAAGAAGTCAAGAAGCCATTCTTCCCTATTGGTCTCCGTCCCTGTCTTTCCGTCAGATCCTTAACAACTGCCCCTTGAACAGAGCTTTCACAACTGCTGCAAAGGTGCCCTTCACCAACTGACCCCTAAGGGCTGCAGACACGCTTGCTTCAGTTAAGCTCCAAGGACAAGAGGGCCGCTTAGTTGGGACCTCCAAAGTCCCTTCAGGGCGCCCATGGTGGAGGCATCCTGCCTTTTTTTTCCCTGCCAGTATTGCAGGGACTCCCACCCCTGCGCCATCCTTTTCTGTTCCTCAGCCCTTCCCTCTTTTTGCCTGGCCGCCCCTTCCTCTCTGCAACCCTGGAACAAGCTAGACACCTCCTGGTCCTGTCCTACCCTCAGCGCTGTCCTGTTAGAAGGCTGCTAGCGGACCTCCCCCCACCCTCTGGCCCCACCTCTCCGTCCCCCCACCTCGGTCCTGCCCTGGCCCCGCCCCCTCCGGCCTGGCCCCGGCCCTCACCGGTCTTGGGGTCCACGGTGAAGTGATGCTCGCCATCCAGCACGCTGTACACCAGCCGAGCGCTGCTGCCGTACGTGGGGTCATCCGCATCCGAGGCCATCACCTGCATCACCGACGTACCTGGGCCCGGGGGACCAAGCAAGACGGGGGTCACCTGGGACCGCTGCGCTTGTCCTCCCCACCCCAGGGAAGCTGGGGGAGGAGATCCAAGCTAGAGGTCATGGAAGCTAGTCCCCTCACAGTCCCCATCCCCACACTGACTCCCAACCCGCTTCCTGATCTGGGGCCTTCCCGTGACGCAAGCGTGACCATGGAGTCAGATCTGGGTTCAAATCTCCCTTTGGTGGCTCCCAGCTGTAGGACTCTGGCCAGGGAAGGCAGCCTCTCTGAATCTGTTTCCTCTTCAGCAAATGGGGGATAATCCTAGTCCTTGGTTCTTGAGGTTGAGGGAATGCACTTTAAATTCTCAGTGCAGATGGGGCTCAGTCTCAGCGGGTGGTGGCAATGGTCATCTTCACCAGTTAAGTCATCATGGTCAGAGTTAGAGCCAGGACTGGAAACCAGGCACCAGACTCCCAAAGCAGGGGTCTTTGTGCCCACCCCAGCCTCTCCTGATTTCTCAAGGGAATTCTGCTTCTCTTCCCTCCCTCCTTCACCACCCCCCACAAATGGGAGTTGGGCAGTCCAGAAGGATAACCAAGTTCACTGGGGCTCAGAGACCAGTGTCTTTTGGATCTGGGGCAGGAGGATGGCAAGACCCAGCTTTCCCTTTGGGAAATAGTTGGCTGTGGGTCCTGGTGCCCTCCTCACCCCTCCCCCTGGGTGCCCAGACAGTCCCCGCCCCAGGCACACGCACACACATGCACATACACACACATACACACTTCTCCACATGCTCTGCACGTAGGCTGCTGGGGAGAGTATAAATTGGATAAAAGTCCATCAAACAGCGGCAATTAAGTTATTGATTTTCGACGCTGCCTCATTAAACTGGGAGCTTCTCTTGGCCTGTCCCAGAGATGGCTCTAATTTGACATCATGTTCAATTTGACGAAATCAGGCTTGGGACATGAGGCTGGACAGGATGGGGGTGAGGGCAGGGTGGGGGAGGTGTTGGACGGAGAAGCGGGCAAAGCCTTCTGGTCCATCTGAACCTTTCCAGAAAGGAGGGGGTGAGGTAGAAGACCTAAGAGGGAGTCTTGGGGGCTCAGGATATGACCCAAGGGGATGAGACTCATCCATCACTTTAAGGTGATGCCTTCTTTTGAGTGCCCTGCTGGTGAGGGGAAGGGGCCCAGACCTGCTGAGGTTCTGAGTGGGGCGCTCTTGGGGCTGGGTTGGACTCTGGGCCAGGAGGGCGGCATGCTGGGAGGTAAGGCCCATTCACGGCTTGGCTAATGAGTGGGCTCTGGAAGAGCTACTGCAGCAATTCTGCTAAGCCCAGCCTGCCGCCCGCCTCTCCCGCCTCCAGCCTGGGGCCCTCGATCATTCCAGACAGACACATGTATTTATTTTTTACTCTTTTGCATTTCTCATTTCCCTCTCCATGTCCCCCCTCCCAGTCTAAGCCTCCTAAACCGGCCCTGCGATGCGCCTCTCTTTGGCAGCTCCTGTTCCATGTCAACCATATCAGGGTTGCCCAGAGAAGCTAGGGAAGGGATTTGAGCAAGCCCCCTCCCTCTTGATGCTAGGTGCCCAGGGTCTCCTACTCATAACCCCAGGACATAACCCCAGGTGCCTCCTGTTATACAGATAAAGGAGAAAGGAATAAATGCCTAATGGCACCCACTGCATGTCCAGCTTCACCAAGCACTTAAATTCATAATCTCTAATCCTCATAGTGTTTCCGAGAGGCAGAGTGAGCCCCTCTAAGTTACAGGCGAGGAAACAGGTAGAAAGACTTGACCAAGAGCACCGAGAGAGGAAGTGGTGGAATTTGAACCCAGGACTCTCTGAGGTCAAAGCCCTCCTGGGTGACAGAGTCAGCACAGGCAGAGTGGCTCTGGGGATGGTAGCCCAGTGTACTGAATCACAATCAGTGATGACTCTGCCACTTACTAGCAGTTTGACCTTGAACATGTCACAAACCCCCTTGTGCCTCAATTTTTCTCATTTGTGAAATGAAGATGATAGTACTACCAAACTCCTGGGATTGTTTTGAGAATTCAAATAGACTTCCATGTTCAGCACCGCGGACAGTGCCTGGCCCATGCTAAGAACTCAATAAATGCAGGTTGTTGTCTCGGGAGGCATGGCATGCCAGTATACGATAGCACAATCATGCCTCCCTCACAGACATACTGAAAAGGGAGAAGATACATAAAGCATCAGGCTCATGGTGGGTGCTCAATAAATAGTGGCTGTTGTAACTGTTATGAGAGAGGGTCTCCCTGTCACTCCCCTCTGCTTGTTCCCCCCATCCCTTGGGCAAGGCACAATATTGGGCTGAGTGACTCCCCAGGGTAATGGCTGATCTCTCTCTCTCTCTCTCTCTCTCCCTCTCCCTGGCTGCATCCCAGGGACTCCTGCGGGGATGATGGAATCATTTCCCCAAACCCAGATTCTTTATTGCAGCCATTACAGTTAATGCCTACACGTGGGGATGGTGAAGGGTCAGTGATTCACCACTGGCTCCCCAGACTCCAGACCCCCTCCTACATTCTTCACAAGTCAGCAGCTCCCCAGAATGGGCAGAGAAAAGGGTGCTGGGCTTGTGGCTGCTACAGGACCTCAGGATCATCCCCCCTCCATTCAGCAGTTCATATTTTTATAATGACCATCACATCCACTCCCTCCTTTAGTCCTCAGGCCAATTCTATTATATAGATGCAGTGGTATGCTGGTAAACGTTTAACCATCGGCTCTGAGGGCTAGAGGGGTGGGGAGAAATGCCCTGTCTTGTAGTGTTTGTTGATTTCCATGGTGTAGAGACTCTCACCATGGCCAACTTAAAGCTTCCAATGTGATATCAAGTGGCTCCCAAAACAGAAAATCAAGCTGATATGAACCAACACAGTACAATCCTGCATCATTCCCATTTTACAGATGAGGAAACTGCTATGCACAGTGAAGAGTGAAAATGTGAATTAATAATAAATAATGATGAAAAAGGAATGAGATCTTGCCATTTGCAACGACGTGGATGGAACTGGAGGGTATTATGTTGAGTGAAATAAGTCAAACAGAGAAAGACATGTATCA